TATTCTGTAGAGGGAGCTGTTGGCTCTACAATAAATATTATAATTTGAGTCTGTAGAGGGAGCTGTTGGCTCTACAATAAATATTATAATTTTAGTCTGTAGAGGGAGCTGTTGGTTCTACAATAACTCTTATAATAGAGGGAGCTGCTGGCTCTACAATAAATATCGGGGCCATCAAAGATGATTATTCGATATAGGCAAGCATTCGAAATGCCCCTCCTCCCCCACATCTCTCTCTCTCTCACGCACACACACACACACACACACTAATTTTATTTTCTTTAGTTCTAATTGTCAGCATTTTATAAGCTTAAATTGCGGTATTTAGTATTTAACAGTTTATTAAAGTTCTTACGTTATTTTCTAAATTTCTTATTTTCTGCAAAAAGAGTACCAGTTCCGTATTGTTCTGTTGGTATTGCCTTTTGTACGGAAAGTTTTATTCTCCATACCATTCTTTCTTCCGCCCCCGACCTTTCCTCCTGACCTCCAATTTGCCGCCTCCTCCCACAATATGCCGCTCATCCCTTTAGACCGCCATTGATAAATGTTTTTTTGGTAGTTTGTTTGTTTGTTTTGAAGTTAAGCACAAAGCTACACAATGGGCTATTTGTGCTCTGCCCACCACGGGTATCGAAACCCGGATTCTAGCGTCGTAAGTCCGCAGACATACCGCTGTGCTACTGGGGGGCTTTTTGGTAGTTAAACGTATTGTTACATTTTTTGGTACTTCAGGTTATCGTAGTGTCTTGGTAATCGATGTTTTAGTTCTGTTCGATCATTGTGACAACTGATTTTCTAATTTTCGTTGTAATATATTTATAATAAAATAGTGTTTCTCTTCAGATAGTATATACGCAACTCTCTTGATGAAACCATAGAATATTCGCTGTTTTCTGTGTTCTTGTTTGATTCTTCGTGAAACCTTTATTTTGTACTACTTTATTATTAACAGTTTAAACGTTTTTTTTTTCGTTTTCTTATGATTCAGAGAAACTGTACAGACTGTATATCTGGAACTGTGCCAGCATTTCTGTAACTAAACTATAGTGTGACAACTCTTTTCATTAAAAAAAGCGACATATGTCAACAAGCCATGTAGAGAAATATCGGAGCGAAAGAAACTCGTCGTTTTGTTCCTAATATATGTTTTACGAGTGTATTCATGTAAAGTGTTGAGTTATTTTAAATTCAGGTTTTTTGTATTACTAAATACTTGTGTTTAATCTGACACAGAATTTAGATGTTATTGATCAAATAGCGTGTTTCTTACGTTAATCAGTACAGAATTCGTTGCAAGCATCGTTTCTACAAATAGAGCTTCAGGAACGAACTGTCAGATATGACCCATTTTAACCCAGGACAACACACACAGTTCTCCCTGAACGTGAGCAATCAATGTCTGCCTTTGTTATTACTTCCTTGGCTTACGTATCTCTTGAAATTCGAGATTTTGTTTTTACACTTGTATACGGCTTTTGTGTGTCGTAATACGATATGAAACTATTTAACGGTTTGAAACAAGAAAATATTTACACGAACATATATCTTTTTTAAACGAAGTAGTTTGAAAGTTTTTATAAAATTGTCTAACTCATGGAAACAAACATTAGTTATTTTCGAGTGGATTAGTGTGAAGTAATTTATAAGTACACACAGCAGATACTTTGTGAAGTCATGTAGTGGCTACGGTCAAGTGGAGCAGTGTGAATTTGAAATATCTAATTTATATGACATAAGTATAAAACGTTTGTAATGTGGATTGTTAAGTATATGACGTTTGTAATGTGGATTATGGAGTGTTAGGACGTTTGTAATGTGGACTATCAACTCTAGAACGTTTGTAATGAGCCGTATGAAGTGTAGATCGTCTGTAGTGTGGAACGATTAGCAAGTAGTGTGTTAAGTGTGAAATGACTGTGGTGTCATGTACTGTACCAGCTGTAAATACCCATAAAACAACTTGGGAATAACTGCAGCCAAACTTACCTACAGTTGAAACTCTCTAAATCATACCTACATTTCTTTGGCTTTTTTCATTTTCGCTATTCAACAGCTTTTGTGTAATTGAAATATTTATAGTGCCGAACTTCGGTTATCACATCAATATAATCTTTTGGTTTTTATGGCTTCTAAAAATGCTTTTAAATTTTATTATTCACTTTGTAGAATATTTGAAATCGTCCATTTGTGCTTAAATAAACAAACAACAGTACAAACTTTGTTACGTTTCTGTTTATACCAAAACATTTCGCGCAGACTTTTGTTCAAGAACTAGTGATGTAGATACGACCTCCCGAAATATCGTGGAGTAATTATAAACTGACCTAGTGTGTGTATACTTGGCACCAGTAACTTCTAGAAGATTCCAGCATTCTCTGTTCTAACAGCTGGAGAGTGACTGTAAGACAGCACAATCAGCACAGTTTGCTGTATAAGAAATTAAGCTTTGATTTTTCTCTGTAGCAGGGCCGGAGAATGAAAACTGTTTTTACGTGTATGTAGTATCGTTACTGGTAATAGTTTTTAAACGTCTTTGTCTAAGTAATGACACTAGTCTTGCATTCTCTGTTCATGATGATATAACTTAACTAACATCGCACTTTATGTTAAATGGCCTATCGTGGCCTAGTGTGCCTGGGTTGTGTAACCGAGGATTCGTGGTCCGTGACTTGTTGCTGCAAAAATGTATTCCGCACTTTGAGGCCACGAGTACGCTGTAAGAGGGACGTTCAAATCCCACTCATTATTGGATGAGAGAATTGTAGCCCAAGAGTTGGTGGTGGGTGCTGTTGACTGGTTGTCTTCCATCTAGTCTATCGAGTTCAAAATTAGGGATGGCTGAAACAAAGCAAAAGTTGTGATAAACTTTATTATGCTATCGTTTTTTAACCTGTTACTGAATAATTAGTGTACGAAGTTGTACAAATGAGATGTTTTAATTGCTATATTAAACACATTTCTGTGTTTTTCACATGTAACTATCAGTGGCGTTTATATTCGGGTAGGTTTATGATGAACTCTCGAAATATTTCTAATTTATCTATAAACCAGTGAAAGTTATAATGTGAAATGATACTATAGTATTGTTTTCAGATGTTGAGGGCTTTACTGGTGAAGCCTCCCCAGCTAATTTCGAACAGTGTCCCAGTCCTCAAGACGTTGTTTCTCCCAACAATAAACATCGAGGACCATTGCGGTAAGTAGACAAAACAAATGTTTTTCCCTTTGTACGTTTCATGCATTCTTTATTGTTCTCAGCCTATAAAAGAAATAAAATAAAGATACGAAAATCCCGGACTAAAATGTACGTGTGTGTGTGCCCACAGGATAAACATAGGTCTGGCTGTTTACAAAGCTCCATGCTGGTAGATCAAGAGAGAGGAAGCAACATGGGCCAAAGCGCCAGAGCAGTTTTACCAACTTTCTGTTTTAATGGAACACAAGCAGTCAAACACAAACCCAGCAAGTGGCATGTCACAAGCTTACAACCTTGTGGAAACAAAGACCTTGACCAATATCCAAAACTGGCTTTCTGGCTGCATAAAACTACTGCATGTCAACCATTCATGTTTTGCCCTTGTCACAGACAGAAAGACTGCTTACTTTCCCAGATGGCTAGGGTAAGAAGTACATAGCGTTTGTATCAGAGGATCTTAGATATACTAACAAAGCTACCTTCTAGAATCTACTGTAACCCAGGCTTACTGTAAAAAGTCCCTTACTGTTGAGAAGTAACTCGTTTACTATATCAAAAGCTTCTAACAAATTTCCCATTCACACACTCTCTCTCTGTATGATTAATTGACACAGCATTACAGGGACCATCCGAATTACTGGTTAGACAGCCATCAAACAGTGATTTATCAGTTGTAAAGGAATAACTATCTTACCATTTTTTAATATTTTAACATTTCGGAATGTAACTGGCATGTTTTGCTATTCTGGCAGATTTGAGTAGCAGATAATAATATGCAACATTATGGCGAAGTTATCATTGTTGTTTTGATACGACTTCATATTTACATATTTGGTGCTTTCAACGTGAATGGTACCTTGTACGACACCTGGGCTAAACTGCGAGTTAATAGGCCAAGAAACTTCTTCAGGAATCAACCATGGTGTTTACCACAAGTCTGAGGGTCGACGACTATGGTTGCTTATTGTTCTCTGTTCCTCGCTGCCTGCACCAACTTTCTTAATTCAAGCTTCTCACGTCTAATCCATTTTCTAATGTCAAGAGCCAAGTGAGTCTCTGCCTGCTCCTTTTTCTCGTTTTTTTTCGATTTTACCCATCATAATCCCTGTCTTCCTTTCCTCAAATCTAATCGTATGCCCAAAGTGGCACATATTTCTTTTCCTAAATATGTGTAGCAGTTGTCCAGTTGTCTTTTCACGTTTCAAAACTTTAACATTAGTCTGTCTTTCTGTGTCTCTAATCTTCATTGTTCTTATATAACATCACATTTCAAATGTTTCAACCTGTTGTTTCACCAGACAAAAGTCTAGGCATAACAATTCCTAATTTAGAACTGCTAATCAGATGGAGGAAAGTCAGTTAGCAGTACCCCCGAAAACGTGGTTAACAGAATAGCGAGATTGGTTGTCACGGTCATAATGCTCCCATAACTAAAATGGCAGTGTGTGTTCAATGGCATATCGCTGTTCAAACCTTGGATCTTTTGATCTGCAACCTGGCGCATTAACCACTAAGCTACTTCCGCCCTTCAAATTTACCAAATATTTATAATTTACCAGTGTAAAAATTTCAATATTATGCACACCAAAATAGGACGCTTTATAAAAAACAAAACAATTTATGCAGCAAAGTCCAAATGGCATGCAAAGGAAATAAATAATAAACTTAATGCTGTGTTGGATTTGGGTGCACATGTAAAATTTGTATATTACGGATTGTGAGAAATAACAATAATGAACTCTGGTGCGTATACGTGTATATTTTTGCTCTCGGAGTGTTGGGAGAATTAAAAGGAGTGGTGCAGTCTTTTACCCTTTCTGACTCTTGTAACAAGGGTGACATGGTTTATTAATTTCGTTTAGTTTGTTCACCTTTCTATCCTAAATATAAGCTTTCTAACCTAAGGTTCTTGTATCGTAATTATGACTGTTTCTAGACATCAATATATTTTTTCTATTTAGATTCATAATTTCGTAATATTTTACAACAGGCAAGTGCTTTTAACTCGACAAAGTTTTTCCCAAGATCAGCAGTCTCGCGCGCATTATTCTTTCGCAATACAATTTTTAAAAATAAAAATTATACAATTTCACCTACTTTGTCGCCTCAAAAAATTAGTACTCCAAGCGTTTTATTTCTAATTCACTTTTGTTTTCTAAGGTCCAGCACAATGTCGTATAAATGTATAATAAAACATTCGATTTTTGTCTGTTCAGTAGACGTAGCTTTAAATTAATACGCAACTGTTATGAACAAACTTTTATTATGTTGTATATGTTACGAAATGATGTTTGTTGACTTAGATACTGTTGATGAAATATTTATATTATAAAGTAATCGTTGTCATATTTGTATAAATTGTATTCGTAAAAGAAATCAGAGTCATCTGAGTTTTGTTTATTCAATAA